TGATCCCCTCGCTGCCGTTGTCGATGCGACATTCGCTGCCATGTAGTCTGTCGTCGTCCGTGGATCGCATGTCTAGCCACAGCGCGTAATGTTTATCCAGGTAACCATCAATCCTCATGTAGGATAAACTCGTTGACTTCTGGCGAGTGTCGCTTGATGGTCGGTAGTTTTCTTATCTCGTCCCACTGCTGGTAAGCTCGCATGCCTTGGCTGAACAGCTGGTTGGGAACGCCCTCGACGGTCACTTCAACTTTCGTGATCTCGGGATTCCAAGTGAGTTCGCTGTCTCTTCGAAACGGCTCGTATTCCGCCACGGGAGTGATCAAGATGCCTTTCATCGATAGAGCCGGCACGTTCAGGTTGATGTTCCACAACGTGTCGCTCTTGTCCTTGACGATCGTCCGGTGCCGCAGCACGCGATCGTACAGGATGGACAGCTTTCCTGAGTACTGGGTGCGAATCTGCCGGGCCAGTTCGGAGCTCGTGACCATGTCGAATTCCAGAGAGATGTTGTCAACGACGTAGCTGGCCCCGGTGCCGTCCAGTGTGAATATTACTTTGCTGTAGCCGTTGAACGTGAGTTCGTATTCCAACCGGTCACCCAGCGCGGCCCTGTAAAACGGCATGTGGCCCTCGAGCAGCTCGAAGTCGAGTGGTATGCAAAACCGGTTCCCGTATGCCTTGGTGATGGCTTTGTCCCCTGCCTCTATCCCATCTAGCTTGTCTTGCGTGAAAGCTCATCCCACATGCATGTCGTTCGCACGGCAGAACGAATTTGCACGGCCCAACAAATTCCTTGATACAACATGTCAGCGCGTTCCTTCTCGATTCTCCAGAGGTCCGTGTAACAGTAAAACACGTCACTGTCGTCGATGCTCAGCACCTCGTTCCCGCGTATTTTGATGGTGGTTTTCTTGACAATGGCACGACCCAGGTTGTGCACGATCTTGCGTTTGTCGTTCGTGGACTCCAAAGTGATGTGCAAAGCCAGTCGAGCTGTGCCGGGGACGATGACATCGTTCGTGGCCAGGTTGGGGAATCGAACCAGCAGCGTTTGGTTTTGATCAATCGTGCTCGGATTGTTGGTGATGGTCACCGACTGACGCATGGCTTTAACACCCAGGGGTTCTCTCGATCTTTGGAAAGGATCTAGCTTTCGTCCGTATTGCTACATTGTTTATATTGAAACTATGTATATTATAAGTTTAATATAACAAAAATGGCTGATGATATTCCCACGGAAGATTTCGACGTACACCAGCTGAACGACCATGATGCAGCAGCCATGGACACCTTGTTCATGGGGGACACCGTGGGCAACAAGCTTTTAACGCAGGCTGTAGATGAGTATTACGATGCTTTAAAGCTCGATAAAAATTACGCCGAAACGTTGGGACGCTGCGATTGAAAGCTCATCCGAGGTCGATCTCATGAACAAACACACGAGAAAAACTCTCGCCCTGTCGACGCTAGCCAGTCACCGTGGCGGTAGTCAAATGATCCGCGACGAACTAAACCTGCGAGATTACGGCGGCGCACGACCCAAACAACTTCCGCGAAGGTCGTCCAAGATCTGCAAAACGTAAGGACCAAACTTGGTGGTGCCAGCGCTGCCGATCTGAGAGAAATGCCCAAGGGTGCCAAAGAAGCGTCGGACGAAATCGATAAAATATTGGTCACGTACTGGAACGAACCCTTGCCCGGTTTCGAATTTCCTCTTAGGGAACTTCGAGGTCGAGATGAAGCCTTGAAAAACTAGTGCGGAGAACTCGTGAACAACATGGGTAAACTGAATGAAATCGACGAGCACATCGCTCGCGAGAAAAGAAACCTCAGGATTGTGGATGACGACGACGCGATGATAAACATCATCGAGAAAAGATTGCACTACCTGGAAGACGAGAGACGGACCAGATTGGAAGCCGCTTCCTCCAACCGGGAAGCCCTACGATCACAAATCAGTCGCGTGCGCGAAACCATCAACCAAGTCTTGAACGAGGACACCACATTGGCCAACAGGATCCGAATTCTGTTCCGGGAACAAGGAATCACCATCGCCAGTGTTCTCACGGCTTTGGGCTTCATCATATCGACTCTGGTCGTATCACTGACGGGCGGTGGTGGTACACCACCAACACCAACAAGCCCATCATCAGGCGACGACGTCAGAGACTGGATAAAAAAACATTTGAAATCTCTCGGCGAAGCCCTGGCTAAACTGGCATCTTGGGCAGCATCGTTTCCTGGTTGTTAGGCTTCTTGTCGAAAACCGTCACGTGGCACGGTCAAAACCTGTGGGCTTTCATCGTCGCCGTGGTGGGTCTGGTGTAAGTCGCGGCTAAGGAATTTTTAACCAAATGAGGCACAGACCGATCGCGATCCCCCTGACCACCAGCGCCGTTTTGCAATTGACGTGCTGCTGATTGTTTGCCTGCACATGCTGAGGCAGCTGCTGCTGTTGTTGGCGTGGTGGTGCTACTTCTACTTCCGGTGTCGGTGCCACGATGCCCGTTTCATACTGCAACACGACTCGACTCGTGTTATTGACATCCTTTTGACACTTTTGATCGGCGATGACGATTTCGTTGTTGTAGCCCACCACTCTGTCCATCCTCATTCGCATGTCGCTCGGAGCCATGTACAGTCTCGGGCCGAACACGTGGTTGACTTTCAACCGGGTTTATTCTAGCGCTTTTTGATAGCTGTTTCTGCGCGTCGTAAGCTGTCCCTTCACGACCCACGATGCTGGAACGCATTTGCGTCTGAGCACCCAGCACGGCCCACACGTACGTACGTTCGAATCGAATCGTTCAATCTGACAACACCAGCAAGAGTACACCCTTTCGAAGTGTCCAGCATGAACATTTTCCAATCATCCGCAGGTCCTGCTCGAACCTCCAAACGCGGTAATCCTTGCTGTTGTTGAAAGACATGTAATCGTCTTGATGTAATGATACGACTTGTAACCCCAATCTTTCACTAGCTGTTTGCTGGCTTCCACGAGAGACATGTTGTGAATGATGGGAATGCCCAAACCGTGGTTCGGACCCGGCAAACACTAATCATCTGATCTAGTTCTAATTCATCGCAAACGCCGCTCGCATGCGCTATCATCGATCGTATGATTGTTTATGGCATTCCATGCCTTGTCTTGCGGAATCGGGGCACTGATTTCTTTCAGGATACGTCTGATCTGGTAGTACACGTGAAATGAGAATACAGACCGACTCAGCGCATCACGACAAGTGTCGTTCAACGTCACGCCGCACCGAGTGGTTGCGCACCACACGGCGAAATTGAATTGATTCTGCCACAACTGCATCGGGTTGATAAACCAAGTGTGTACCGTTTTCACATTCGTGACTGAAAACCCGTTATTTGTAAACACGTCGATGAACCGAACTATGAAATGTAAACCATCCTTTGCATCGACCACAAGACTCGCTTGCGTGAGATTGGTAGCACTTTTAGAAGAAAACACTCCCGGTTTGTACATATTTGAATTGTTATATAGTATACATATCTACTTTTTCAATATGTACATGACGCTTCCGGGAATCATGAGTGGCGAGTCCGAACTGTTTATAAATAAAGCGTGGGGTAGCCTAGTGGTTAAAGCGTTGCTCAACTGTTTATACAATGTGTTAAGCCCATTTCGGTGTCCCCGCCGTGATACCTGGAAATAAAAAGCGGCGAAAACTAAACTCAGGCTCAGTTTATAAATAACGCCAAATATTGCACTACTGCGTGTGCACGCTCAAAGAAGAAATCTTCAAACCCATGGGAGCCGAACTCAAAATAAACGACTCTAACAGCACGGTCATGTTAGCCATCAACGGAAAAAACACTTTGAGTCGGCTGTTGGCTAAAACGGTCGGGTTGACGTCAAACAACATACCACCGAAAACCACCGAGACCGGCACAAAATTACCCGACCTCGTTCTGTATCGCGAACTGTGCATTCATCTCGATCAGCTGAGCACGACCGACAACATTCAAGGCGAACGACCTTCCACACTGCTGAGAGCTGTGCCGGTGAAAACGAAAAGTACAACGACGGCAGAACCGAATTGTTTTCGTCGCGGCATTACAAGAAATTAATCCGAGGCAACATCACGGAATTGAAAATATCGGTTTTAGACGTTAAACATGATCCCATAAGTATAGGATATCTCAGCGCGACGCTGCACATACGACAATGATGAAGTCTCATGGTCCAGGAACACACGTTAGAAAATGCGCCAACATAGCGATCTCCGACCTCGGGGACACGCATGGATTCGACGGCAAACTGTATGCCTTGCAACTGAAAAACAGCATTTACAAACGCGTCGATTTGCCACCCTCTACTGCCGCTGGTGGTGGTGGCCACGACCTAGGCGATTTCTTCGATACTGAAGGAGCGGCCAACAACACCCGGTACGACCTGATATGCAATGACGAGGACAAATGGACGATAACCCCAGCCTTCCGCGGCAGGGTGATCCACCTGGACGACGTCGAGACCACGGCCATCTCCAGAAACACGCAGTCTCATCTTCAACGACGACAACAAATGGGTATTAGTGCCATCCCAAATCGACTGGAATCTCAACATCACCCTCGACTCTCCCCACGTTTTCACAGACAACAAAGATCACTACCTGATGAAAGTCATGAACAACGGAACGCTGCTTGTGGCTTTACGTCCCTACACAAAGACGCAGCGTGAATGTCAGCACGTTGAGGCAAAGAGTAGCCCACATGCTGTCTAGCAAACCCGGGACGCAAAACGTGGGATTGCAGATGGTGTCGGAATTCGACAGTAACAAGCTGTAACTACGGAAACATATAAGAGACTTTTGTTTTGATGAATATGACCAAAGATTAGACAGCCTAAATAGTCAAACAACACACACACCTTGTAGTCCCACCATACCTTTTACACCTTGGTCCTGCACACTCACACCTTAAACGAAATCTAGCTCAATACTAGGCCAACATATGAACCAGTGACCCACCTGGAGAGCTTTGATTGTGTCCATGTAGCCTTGTTCTCGATGTTGGAGGTCAGCACTGACACTGTCGTCTGCTCCTGTGGACTCCAGCTGATGGATGCTGGCACAGTAAGCTTCACTGGCTTTCCCACACACCTAGAACACATCATATGTCACTTGAAAACTTGTCATTCCTATGTCTGTTTTTACGTCTGCTCCAGTCGTGTGACACTTTTGAAAGATCATAGTCCAACAAATATCATTTGAACCCAAATGATATAGTGCCACCCCACCACTGTCAAAATAAATACCACCTCTATAAACAACCCTTAATATTTGTCCTAATCAACCCATCCTGAATGTGCAGAAATTGAATTCAGAATGCTATTTGGGGTGTTTCTTTGAATGGCAGGTCAAACACTACATCATGAATATACTAGGCTACTTTTGAGGTGTTTTGAATCTGTTCACAAATTGACAGAGAGAGAGAAAAAAATCTATTCTTTTAGTGCTAACTTTATTATTTGTATCAGAGAAGGATGTAGATTAATTTCTTTAAAACAAACATTGGCAAAATAGAATGACTTCTTTGAGTGGCATTTGGAAGCTGGTATGAGTGAGTGAGTGAGTTAATCTTTAACGTCACATCGGCAATATCTCAGCCATATCGTGATGAAGGAAGCTGGTACAACTTATTATGGACAGACAATAAAAAAGTTGTCTATCCATAAAAAATTGGTCCTGTTCAGAATAGAATAGACAAAACACATTCAATTCACATGGTCGACTTCTGAATTTGTCACATCATTACCTGAGGAAACATTGTGGCAAAGAAAGACTGACATCTATTAACATTTAAAAAATATTTGTACAGGGCTTATCCATAATCCATAATTTGTGACATAAAGGTTATCATCATCAGAAACATATTAGGCAACATCATCCAGTTTTTATTATATCGTCTGGCTCCAGCTCTATCAAACAGAAATGTCCAGCTACATTATCAGCACACAGATACTTGCCAGGCTGCCTGCATATACCAACACGATTGTTTTCTCAGAGAACAATTTTACACTCATCAGGGAAGATGACTCTATTTCAGTATTTACAGTTTGATACCTCTGTCCTTTCAGACATGCCACACAATTTCCTGAATCCTGATTTTCTTTCTGACCACTAGCTTGTGATTTTTGTTGTCAATGTCAATAATTTTCTCCTAATACAACCCAAACTCGGTGGCTTTTAAATTCTGCAGCAATATTATCTAAACACGAAAGTATGTCATTTATTACTGTTTTTAAAAGTTGCTGTGTTCTATTCCCAAGTCCTTCTCAATTTCAGAACAATTTTGTCCATCTTGGTATTTGTCTATGACTTTCTTTTCTGACTTTGGCAGAGTGAGTCACTTGTAATTTGTTGCTGGAAGGACCCTTGGAAAGTAGTGATGTAGACGACAACAAATTGATGACAATTAGATGACGATGTAATTATTGAGCAGTGTCAATCTTATTACTGAGCATTGAAATGACAACATCATCGCCATTCCAAATTGTCTGTAATCATATGGTCACTCACTGTTTCTGAATGTTTATCTTAATAAACATTTATCTTAATAAACATTTTCCATGTGAAAATAAGTAAATTGATAAACTAATGCTGACTATTCCAGGAGTTATCACTTGTGTAATATGAAGATCTCCGATGATACTCTTTTCCTGATCACTGACACTCATCGTCTTGATGTCAGAACAAAATTCTGTGCTAACCTACCTTTTTACTTAAATACAGTCAGGCCCCGTTAGTCTGGACCCTGATAATCTGATTCCCACGATATCTGAACGGTACTTAGCTGTAACCAATCTTGTTTACTATGTAAACTCATTGACTGTTGATTCATTAATCCAGAGCTTCACTCTCCGGATCCGGACGTTAATAAGCGGTAACGGATTAGCTAATTACACTTGGTTTTGCATCATTAATCTGGCAGTACATCAAAAAGGTTTGGATAATCCCCTTACCTCATGAGCACCATTGATTAGCACTGATCATCATCAGTAAACTTCAATGGTAATTGATAAGCGAGGTGACACTTCTGAGTTGAACATGTCGTTAGTTTGTGATTTTAATCAATTAATAGGTCTCACTTGTGCAAACACAACTGGCACCATCAATATTAAGCCATTTGTCATCGCCAAATCCCAGATGTTTTGGAAGAGACTTTAACCCAGAAATGTATGTTCGCTATCGGTTCAGCAACAAAACATGGATGACATCAGACATGTTTTGTGACTGGCTGAGATCTTTTGACAGACAGATGCAATCACATGGTCGACACGTGATCTTACTTTGTGACAACGCTACCAAGTGTGCCAATGTCAATTGACCAGTGTGAAATTTCATTTTCTGCCTCCCTACACCACTGTCATTGGCGATTTCTTTAAACCCAGTGAGTTTCTGACTTTTGATTGTTATACAAACTGTAATAAAGTCATTTGATAAGGTATCTTCCCATAAGACAGACCTCCCAAAAGACAGACCGCTTAAAACAACACATTTTGTGGTTGGTTGCATAAGGCTTAATGAAGCTGTACCCTTGATAATAATGGTATGTGCCCACATAAAAGAGACAACATTAGGTATTAACTATAGTCTTATCAATTCATGTTATGAATTATGATTTTTAAATTAAGACATATTGCATCAACAGTCAACACATATGTACATCAACATCTATGTGTCAGATCACATTTACTTGTGAATATTATCAAAAACAATAATTTATATATACATGTACCTATCAAACATATGAGACCAAGCACCATATTATTTTACATCACATGTCAGGTAAGAGCACAGATAACACTTATTAGAAAGTCACTTGAACATCATCAGTTTCTCCTGTTCACCTTGCTCTTGGCATACAGGTAGCCATCTAGAAGGGTGATCATATTAGCTGAAACAAGTGATGGATTGCAAAAAACTTTGAATGTGTTTGACCAGTATTGTAAAGAATGGAAACATAGTGTGAATTTAGATGTCTGTGATGAACTTCACTTTTTATTATACTATCCAGCACTTAATGCCCTCAGAAATCAATTTCTTCCCCAATATTTCTGTAAACATTGTGCTATTGAAAAATTTGTTTATCTTATGAAATGTGATTATTCACCACATAACTCTAAAGTATCTGTATCAATATGCTGTATGTACTGTGTCACTATAAGTGTTTTATTAGAATAATATTTCGGTTCTATTCTGTTCTGTTCAGTAAAAGGCTCAGTAATATGTTTTGAGAAGAGCACAGGAGATAGGAGTGTGCTGTTACTATACACTGTAGTGACTCTGGGTCAGCTCATTAATTAAATAGGGGTGGACAGCATGGCTTAGCTAATTAGTGTACTCCCTGAGTCTGTCTTTTGGAAGGTCTGTCGTTTGGGAGGTCTGCATACATTCTTATGTTCTTGTCTCAATATGTCAAAGGGAAGTAACTCTACTGTAGTGGTGTAGATAATGGTTCGTTTCAGTAGTCTGTACGTTTCATTATCTGAACGTTTTTGATGAAAAACGGAAGTGTTCGGATTAACACGGCCTGACTGTATATATTTTTATTCACTTTATTCCAAGAGTTAAAAAAAAAATGCTCAAATTACTGAACAAATCAAACTAGGATGATGTACATCTGTCCACTATCCTAGTTCTCAAACTCAAATTTAAGCTTAAACTGCAAGGTTCATGTGCCTTATTTATTTCAAGATTCTGTACAAAGTTAATGTGACCATGGAATTAACATCCTGTTTGTGTCATATATATTTGTTTGTTGTTTAACTCCATATCCCAGATATGTGAGGTGAGGTGAAATTGGGTTTAACGTCGTGCTTGAGAATATTTCACTCATATGACGACGTGCATGCGTGTGTGTGTATGTGTATGTGCGGCTGCTTGTACTAGCCCAGACTTAAGCTGGTTTTATAGTGCTAGCCCACTGAGATACCATGCCACAGTGAAGCATGAATATCCCACTCAGACACATTATACTGACTCCGAGCCGACCAGTCCTTGTTGTGCCCATTAATGCCGAGCTCCAGGCAGGGACCAACAAGTACCATATTTTAACGTCTTTTGGTATGACTTTGTCCGGGGATCGAACCCGCGACCTTCCGCTCTCCGGGCGGACGCTCTAACCACTACACCACGGAGGCGGTCCCCAGATATATGAAATAGTCGAGTCAGGAATTGAGAATTCAGTGATCAGTTTTGTGAACAGCGAACCACATTGTCAAGGTACGATGACATTAATCAAGTCATAGAACCTAACCACCCGATTCATCCAGTTGCCTCTTATGATCATCACTTTAACTGGGGATGTATTCTAACCCGGATCACCAGGCAGGTGTAAGAAATATTTCTGAATATATGTTGGAAAATGAAATTAAGGATATTGGAAGAATCTCAACCATACATCTTTCTTGCCAATTAAAGAATACCTGCTCTAAAAACTACGTAAAGGTTCGGAACTTGAATCAACTCATGTTGAGATATACAGCTCAAAACAATCAAAGATCACCAAAGGTTTGAAAGGTTGTGTGTTTTCCTACAAGCCAAGAAAATGTAATTTTTTTGAGTAAAATTGATATTTTATACCTATCCTGACTCATGCTTATTGGCTTTCTCTTCCTTCCATGCGAATGGTAGTGGAACACTTAGAATCCCTTGTAGTTCCCTGAAGAGGACGTAAAAGTTCTCTCACCCACGAGTTGCCTCCCTTTTCCCGCACAAACAGTCATGTGACCTGCCATGCTTGTCACTCTCTCCTGGGAGGCTGGGAGGGCTTGACATCATGAGTCAAGATAAGTATAAATATCAATTTTACTATAAAAATTACATATTTTTCCTTATCCTGACTCATGCTCATTCGCTTCCAGAATCCGATGGATTGGAGGTGGGTCAAGCCACTTCGTGGATTCATCAGCTGTTCTTAGATACGTCCTGTATTCCCCCCATGGGAACTGTGTAACGGTACTTTCTGGATACTGTTCTTCTAACTTCCGCTGTCAACTCGGGATACCACATCTTGTTATACTGCTCTAAGACAAGTGAATCTTTTTTAGATTCATGTGGATTTTAGATATACTAGTATCTTCTTCTAACTAGTTATCTATAAACAACCCATAGATTATTTTAATATCATTACCATAAATGAGTTACGGCCCCTTATCGTACAGGTAAGATCGTTACCCGTACAGAGTCTTAATCACTCATGCTAGTCTAGTGTAGACGGTGCGAATGGACTCTCAACCAAAACTCTCCAGAGTGAAGGTTATGAACAAGTCAACGTGATAAAGGGTGAGATTCCCAACTCAGCGCCTTTGTGGAACCGTTAGTTGTAGTGCTACAAGAAGTGGCCCAAACTGGGGAATGCCGGAAGCATCCTCGGCGGTGATGTCTCTGAGGTAGAGGTTGCCAAACTCCGTGTCCGACTTTCAAAAGCAGCTCTCCATTATAGCTCATATCTAGCAGCTTCCGTGCAGAGCAAGTGTGGACGCCAGTGCTCTGACTTTGTATGGGTTGGAAACTCTTGGAGGTTCTAGTCCTGCTGCTTTGTCAGCTCACATCCAAATAATATTGTTGTCTTTGAGACTTCTACGGTCGTGTCTGCTGACAACGGAGAGATGACTGTTTCTGCAATCGTGGCTTGAATCTTGACTCATCGATCTGCCGGTAATATGATGCCATTCTGATTGACAACAAATCTTGCTAACTGCAATGCTTCCGCCAGAATCCAACACAGCACAACGCTTGTTGCTGTCGAGGCGCTCCAATCAGCTGATTACTCATGTAAAACAGATGATTTTCAATGATGCGTCATTCTTCGTCTTCAAATCGCCAAAGATTTATATTGAAAGCAAGCTGACATCGATGTGAAGTCTATTTATAGTTGACTGGTTGCCGCGAACAGAAACCATCTGTCACTTGCTACTGCAAGCCTCCAGATAAACAATGTTTAATCTGCTGTCAGAAGAAGACCTCTATGCATCCCATGGAGATGATGGAACCACGTTGCACACTGCTATCTAGACTGTTGATGAAGTCTTTCCACGTTGGAAGGGTTGTTTACAATTGTAGACGACTTCCTGGTATGTGAACTGCGACCGCCTTCAGCGCAGGGCGTTGTCTCTCATGGACCAATCAGATTCCAGATATGTGACCTCACCAGTGTTGCAGCAAATTGCTCATCATGAAATCTTGTGCAGTCGTTGGTTCCTTCGTCATCGAACACTCGGTCTTGTCCGTAACCTCGCTATTCGGCTTGCCCCGGAATAACACGAGTGAACACAGGTGTTGTTGGTTGAGCAAAAGCGCCCGAAATTATTTGCCGCTTAGTGCTTAGTCCCGCTGGCAGTTGCATCTCTATGCTTCAACTTCTTATTCTTCACTGAAGACAATGCAGTCATCATCTTGTATAGATGTTCTGATGAGGTTCCCACGCTTCCTCAACGTTGTTACTGGTTGTCAGTAATAATCGGCTAAATGAAGCGTTTTACAATATTCTTGCACGTCCCAATTGCGTTGTAATACACAAGTAGGTTACTGTAGCATTGATAACTTCCCTCCACATTGATTTTAGAGTCGAAACATTCATCAAATTGAATGTTAATCTAATAACTTTGGGACGGATGCGATATCTTGATGAGGAACTGCGATGACGCCAATCCTAGGCTGGCGTCGACTGTCAGAATGTTCCCTTAATCTCTTGTAAACTGCGCAGGCACAATGTCAAATGGAGAAAATCTGAATGTAGCTGCATTCGTGCAAAGTTGACAACATATTCTTCATGCAGGTTAACTTTGTGTAGCCAGTCAGGCATCTACGAACATTCCATTCACAACTGCATGCATGATGGAGATTCATCTTTGGTGCTTTCTCGAAAGTTGTCTGACATCGTTGTAACTTGCTTCATTAACACGCCTGGGACGAAGTTCTGCGATGTGGGTTGAACTTGATAAAATGCGGTGTACGCGTTCATGAACGCTGAGGCATTGTCTTCATCCCTGATGACAGACGTCTGCGTTGCCGGTGGTTGATCATCAAAGAGCTGGGTAGATGTCGTAAGTTCTCATAACTGCAGGGGAAGATCGTCTCACCGATGAAATAGCGTGTGTGAACGTAATCGTTGGTCTTAAAATCTAGATGAATGTCTACTTCGCCGGAAGGTACGATGTCTTCCTTAACCGATCTGAACTCCGGTTCGATGGGCGGGATCGTGAGAGAGTCGAAATCCTCATTCAACATCTTGTACGTGAGTACTTCATTCGACTCTTTGGATGGAGACGCTAAGTCCAGACCACTTGTGATCCAGGATGTAACTTCCGAATCCGAAAGGATGCCATCACTTTCTTCATCTGTTCTATGAGTCGATTCTCACTCTGATGAACTGTGTCTTCGCGAGTGCATTTGCGAATACTCCCTTCGTGAATCTTCCTTTTGTGAAGCTTCCTTTTGTGAACCTTCCTTCCGCAAATCTTCCTTTCGCAAATCTTTCTCCTGTAGATCTGAGGGTTTGCGAACCCTGTAGATGTCTGCATTGCTGGAATCTGCCTGTTGATCTGAGTGTTTGCGAACCCTGTAGCTGTCTGCGTTGCTGATATTTCTCTGTGTTGTTGTCGGTTTGCTGACGTGACTTCATAGTCTCTTGTAGACTCAGGGACATTCGCCGAACCTCTTGTAGACTCAGGGACGTTCGTTCGCCGAACCTCTTGTAGACTCAGGGACGTTCGCCGAACCTCTTGTAGACTCAGGGACGTTCGCTGAACCTCTTGTAGACTCAATGACTCAACTTACTCGACTATGTAACGTACTCGGGAAACACCTGAATTCAGCAGTAGTTAACAACATACGGTTACCGGTATTATCACCAGTGACTTGAGGTGACTTCCTCTCCTGGTCTATCGCCCGTCTATAGATATAAGATAAATAAATATTAAATTGCAAATCTGATAATTTAATACAGAATCTGCAACGCAAGCTGGAAGAACATGGATTAATGCATGACAGGCATTGGGGAGAAGACTCAGCCGCTGACAGCCGGTACCTGCAATCACTGCAAGATTTCATCAAATGTAAACAATCTACATTATGATGAATAAATGTCACAAAATATGAATAATTTTTCCAAAATTTTGGCATACGATGAAAACTAAATATAACCAAAGTCATACACAGCTTAATTTTGAATAAAGGATCTAAATATTAAAGGATATGGTGCCGTATACGGGACTCCAGTGATCGTCCAACCATCCACTTGGGCGATGAAGGAGAGAGTGACAAGCATGGCAGGTCACATGACTGTTTGCGTGGGACAAGGGAGGCAACTCATGGTTGAGAGAACTTTTAGGTCCTCTTCAGGGAACTACTAGGGATTCTAAGTGTTCCACTACCATTCACATGGAAGGAAGAGAAAGCCAATAAGCATGAGTCAGGATAAGGAAAAAAAATAATCTAGTCATATGAATAAAATCATGTGATATTTGACTTCTTTGGAATAATATATTTGACATCTAAGACATGATATTCTCTACTAATTCTGATACTGATAAATTGGAAAAAGTTTAGCTTCTCTATTTTTGTCAAACATCATTTTTACATTCTAATATTCAGTATTGCTTGGGGTAAAACAAACATGGTCTAATTGAATAATAAATATGAGAAAATATCAAATACTTCAGCCGGAAACCATGTATGCAGATAATAAACATAATATTTACACCAATTTACAAATTTCAAGTTAGGTGTATAATGTATCCTATTACATGTATATGGTCTTAAAATGTTGTTTAAGTAATCAATTCAAGCAAATTATCTGTCAAAGTTAGAAACATCCGCTGAAGCTCACCTGTGAAGCCAGTGCTGCCACCACATTCACTAGAGGGTAGTGAGACAGGGCGTGGCCTCCATCCTGTGTCATGGGGAGAAGGTTCATCTTGAGCAGGTGTTTCCTTACTTCCAACACAGCATGACACATGACAGACTCACGACACTTGCACTGAAAAACAACAGGAATAAATCTGAGGTGAGGTGAGGTGAAATTGGGTTTTACATCGTGCTTGAGAATATTTCGCTCATATGACGACATGCATGCGTGTGTATGTGTATGTGCGGCTGCTTGTACTAGCCCAGACTTAAGCTGGTTTTATAGTGCTAGCCCACTGAGATACCATGCCGCAGTGAAGCATGAATACCCCACTCAGACACATTATACTGACTCCGAGCCGACCAGTCCTTGTTGTACCCATTAATGCTGAGCGCCAGACAGGGACCAACAAGTACCATATTTTAACGTCATTTGGTATGACGTGGTTGGGGATCGAACCCACAACCTTCCGCTCTCCGGGCGGACGCTCTAACCACTACACCACGGAGGCGGTCGGAATAAATCTCACACAAAACAACCCTGTACCAGTGACAGGAAGGGATTGAGTATTACTCTCATGTTTCTTTTGTCTTCTTGATACGAGTTCGGGTGAAAGTGAGATATCGTCACAGTATGGTTCTTGAATGATTTAAATCAAACTTCTTGGGACTGCCAAATGGCCAGAGTCATGCTCCCTTTAACATATTTAAGGTTCTATAAGCTGTTCTTCACAGTATGAATAATACTAAGGCTAAATACTACCATTTGAGCCTTATCAAAAATTCCCCACTCACAAAAATATTTTTAATACACAAAAGGATATTGGTTTTCTAACAAATAAAATACTCATGTTTCCCTTGTTGTTAGCACCTCTGATGGTTGTCATGTATCTGTGAAGGAAGCACAATGAAAACATGTTCCAAAAAGGTCCCAAACATTCTGTACTGACTCAGAGCCAACCTGTCATTAATGCAAAACATGATATCTTTGAAACCAAAGTGTGTGTAACTGACCTTGACATGTTTCTCCAGCTGGGAAGGGTTAAAGTTCATCTCCATGTGGACTGCGTCCAAGTCCAACATCCACAGTGGAATACACACTCTGCCGTCTCTCTCACTGCATGTCTGGAGAGAGACTCACACACATCATTAAACAGAAATACATGAATCCTGTTTTGCAACAATCATCTTATACAGATATGAGGTCCTAATTACTTTATCTGGGAATTTGTTTGTTTTTGCCATGTGTGATTCAATCTCACTGATACTGACTGATTAAATTCCATGATTGACAAGTGTGTGTGTGTTGTGCATGTGCAGGACAAAACTTCTGCCCACATCCCCACTTAAATTTCACTTTGCAAGGCTAACCCTAACCCGATGATTTAATGTCTGTATGCACAAAGTCATTTTTAAACTTATGTTATGGCTTCTTGTCAAATCATTGTATCTGAATATAAATATATCTTTTTCATTATCGTTAAAATTTCGGGGGATACGGACCGAAGTCTTACCCATGTGCATGCAAGACAGCATGCAGCCTTTAACGCCACACTCAGAAATATTCCAAGGATATTCCTGCCAGCCTGTAAATAACTTAATCTGGGTATTTGAGTATTTCCCAAGTAATCCCCCTTCTGGAACTAACCTGATAATTATCTCTGTGTCAAATTATGTTGAATAGCATTAAATTACATTTATACCTTTTGTCATGTTATTTAACTGTAATTTTATTGTTTATCTTACAAAAATTGTTAGTTAAGATAATTTCATCTTGCTTCCTCAGCATGCTCAAGATTTCCATTGTAAATCAAGGGAGGTAATTTTGCTTCAAACAGTTTCATAGTCTTTCCACATCAAAATCAGAACTGTGACTATCATTTTCTTGAAATGCCAACATAACCAGAAAAACCACTGACAACACTACATAGAATATAAACGAGCACAAAGAATAGATCGAAACTTGTTCATTTCCAGATCTGGCTGACCCTTTGATAAACCAAAGCAATATGATTAAATATAAGCTATAAGCTTCCCTATTCCTCCTGTGAACCTGTTTGTTTGTTGTTCAACACCACACTCAGCAATATTCCAGCTATATGGTGTCTCTTGTGAACCTACAATACATTGCACACACATAAACAACATTCACACTTCCAGGTATGTCCATGGAGTAATCATGTATTTGTCAATACTAACCTCTCTGCCTGGCTGGTGTATCAACAACATCCACAATAGCCAGACTGAAGGAAGAGTCAGCCATGTTGGTTAGGAGAACCGCCTCCTGTAGGACATGCCTCTGCTCAGATGACAGGGAGGAATACGGGAGAGTCACTGATTCCTTCATACGCTGCTCGGTTAATGCTGAGCTGAGGTTGTTGTAGCGACCAGATTTGATCAAGAGCTTGATTATGGTGTCATTACAAAGCACAACCTGCAACATGAGCATGGAAACATTTGAAATGATTGTTACTAGGGCTGTGCAATATAACCGGTTTACCGGTATTTACCGTTCAGACATGAAAACGATACGTATTGCGATATGCTGATCGAAAACCGGTATTTTGACATGCATTCGGAAAACCTCGTAACACTCGGAAATCTTGATGATCGTGGCAATTGTGGTAATGGTGGTGGGAATGATCATGTTGAAAATTACATTTAACTGGATTGTTAAGTTGGGTTTGAAGTTGTGTTCTTAGTTTTTGTTCAAGCGTTTCGCAATGTTTTGGATCTGAGTGTTTTAAATATGTACTTATTAATGACCAGTGATCTCTGATATGTCCTGACCAGGTCAAGTTGCTGTCATTTTTATTTTGTCATCATTAAAAAGTTTATATTAAATAATCAAGCATAGTGATTTTGTTGTTGTTTTGCTTTAAACTCGATTATAAGAGTTTTTTGTTAAAAAATTCTTCCTGCAATATATTGCAATACATATCGCAATATATGCTTTCGTATCGCAATATATCGCAATATGAAAATTCTCTGCAATACCCACCCCTAGTTGTTACATACAGACAATAATTGTGTCTTTCTCCCACATTTGGTTTTGTAACGACAGGACAGAACTGCGAAACTCCTCATTAAACTATCACACAGATGGTACAGATATCAGTGAAAATGTTCTGATGAAAAAATTATTGTATTAACCATAATTACCAGGTCATGATAAGCAATCTCTGACAGTTGTATAGTAGTAAAGTAATTTGTACAATAAATAAAAATAACTATCATCATTATTGTGTACTGTTCTGATTTTTCCAAAACATTTATATACACTTTGGTTTTGCTGCAATGCCCAGCATGTAAATAATCGAGGCTGATCTGGAAAAAGCAGTGATTGGTATTTTAAGCAATGTCCCACAAGATGACTATAGTCCGCTTGTTGCAACATTGTTCACATGAATTGCCAACTAAATATACATCTGAAAGCAACAACATGTCCGTAAATGACATGAAAGTAATTTATTTGTCAATACCAACCATTTCAGACATTGCCATGAGGTAGAGAAAAAGTTCTTTAACAAACTATCATGAAATTGTTGGTGTTTTAATGGCTGTTGTAACAAGACAGTATACAATGTAAAGGACACTACAAACACATGGACACAAGGTCCTCAGACTACCACCCCATCATTGTGACCTAAACCCAAATGGAACTTCACTCTAAGAAGGGCAAAGCTATTCAAAATTCAAACTATCCAGTGTGGAGAAGCTGGTAAGAAATAATTTAGACAGTATTTGTAAAGAAACTTGGTAAAATGCATTGAAAATGTTAAGACTGGAATGAAAGATTTGGATATGAAAGGAGATGGTTTAAATCATGCAACCACCAGTCAAATTCTCATTTCAGCTGACAACAATTTCATGATAGTTTGTTTAACAGTTTGTCATGACAATGTCTGTAAATATGGTAAGGAGTTAGTACATAAACACAACTTAGATGCCATTCAGGGGGCAGTGGGGTAGCCTAGTGGCTAAAGCATTCGCTTGTCACACCAAAGACCTGGGTTCAATTCCAGACATGGGTACAATGTGTTAACCCATTTCTGGTGTACCCCGCCGTGATATTGCTGGAATATTGCTAAAAGCTGTGTAAAACTCAACTCACTCACTCACTCACTCATGCCATTCGGGTTTGAGTAGTTGCTTTCAGATGTATTGTATCCATCGTATTACAAGCCTTGCATTGCTTCCAATATTTATTCAGGAATGTTTACAATCTGCATTAACATGGTAGACTGTTGGCAAACACATGCTCTATAGATATCGCATGTGAAGTCCATGCACGTGCACGAAGCACACATAAACAGAGTTACCTCCCCTGACCAGTATGCACCTGCATAGCAGATATACCACAGGATGCAGAGATATTTGGCATTATATGTCAGTGAGAAACTGAGTGAGTATGGTTAATGCCAAATTTAGCAGTACACCAGCAGTATCAGGAGGTGGACACAAGAAATGGGCTTCACACATTGTACTCATTTGCAGAATCAAACCTAGGCCTTTGGCGTGACAAGCAAACACCTTTACCACTGGGCTACTTCACCTCCCTATTTATTGTTATGCAACAAGCAGTACACTGACCGTCTTGTGCAACTCGTCCCTCACAGACTGAATGTCTGTTGCCTCTGTGTTGTTCAGGACTGGGAAGGCAGAGTCACCATACTGTCTGTCAAATAGAAATAGGTACATCACAAAATGAAGACATATCTAGATCGCAGAAACAATGTATTTGAAAAAACATTCATTGCAAATATCTATACAGTTGTATTATCAACTGTCTTTTTAGGGAAACCAGATACTTAATCATGAAACTTAAATGTGAAGTATATCAATGTTCAATGATTCTTCACTGCAATAATAAATGACATAATGTTTTGGAACCTATCCCAAGACTTCGGTTCACCTACTTCAGGAACTGATCTGCAACCATTAGAGCCATTTCAGGTGTTGCATAATCTGCAGCGTGACGCACATCTCTGTATTTGCTGTAATGTTTAAAATCATACTGACAACATATAGGAACATATCTTTTGCTGTGTTAAAACAGTGTATGAAATAAGGCCCGTCCGACAGCCCAAGACGGGCTAGATTTCTGCCGGACGGTCTAATTTTACAGCTAGCCAGCCCGATGGACGGATGAAAAAAAAGATTCAGATAACATGTCCACTGGCACTGTCTATTTAGTATTTAAGACTGACTGACTGACTGAGTTTGGTTTTACGCTGCTTTTAGCAATATTCCAGCAACATCACGGCAGGGGGACACCAGAAATGGGCTTCACACATTGAGTATTTAAGAAGGACTGGTTAAATCTCTTCTGGGCTGGTAAGTTTTTGAAGTTACCTGCCCAGATGTCGGGCTGGGTTTTTGGCTTATTTCATACACTGGCTAAAAGCTATTTCATCAACTGTCAAAATGTTACTGTTTAAAGCAAATTTAAATGAACGCATCACTTAAAACGACTATGACAGGTCACAAACAAAATCGTTTAACTATCGCCTTTAATTGCAGCATGCTAACAACAAGAACTGTGTTGATGTATCTTCAGACATTGTGAGGTGAGGTGAAATTGGGTTTTACGTCGTGCTTGAGAATATTTCGCTCATATGACGACATGCATGCGTGTGTATGTGTATGTGCGGCTGCTTGTACTAGCCCAGACTGAAGCTGGTTTTATAGTGCTAGCCCACTGAGATACCATGCCGCAGTGAAGCATGAATAACCCACTCAGACACATTATACTGACTCCGAGCCGACCAGTCCTTGTTGTACCTATTAATGCCGAGCGCCAGGCAGGGACCAACAAGTACCATATTTTAACGTCTTTTGGTATGACGCGGTCGGGGATCGAACCCACGACCTTCCGCTCTCTCAGACACTGTGAATGTCAATTGAACATAAGCTGGATAATAAGCAGTGTTTGCTCCCTTTCTTTTCAGTGATATCTTAAAATTAATTGGGGTAAATTTCTTACTCCCCATGTTTCACACTGTGCATTAGATGTGATCACATGTTAATTATATATTTTCACCCACAATCCTTTTACAAAACAATTAATTCAATAAAACATATTTACCACAAGGTACCTTTTTTAAGATAAGATTTCTAAGATTACCACCAAATTATTTAACTGTGCATGTACAACTTTTTGCTGTTTCAAAGATACTGAAATACAAGTAGCTTGAAACCCTGTCAGAGTATACATGTGAAAATACAGTGTGTCTCACTTACTCATTAAACAACAGTTGGTAGTACCTCTCTACAAGACTGGGTTTCTTCTGCACTGCCCGGATCCACATTCCGCTAACCTGACGAGAGACCATTAGGTATATCAACAACCAATGACCAACAGCAAGCAGTCTGTTCCAAAATATGTCTCTTCGTATCAGTTTCAGTGGGTTAAAACTTGTAGGCATATGTACAAGCCGTAATAGTCCTTTGCATAGGTGCTTGACGAAACAAATTTTTGACAGATGTGTGCTTTAGTCAGTGGCTGAATTCGCTGACTGAGTGAGATGTATTCTCTTTCAAGTGTTTCAAAGGGAACCCACAAACATGGTAAGTTGTTAGTTGGTTTGTTGTTTAATGCTGCACTCAGCAATATGCCAGATATATGTCAGCAGTCTGTCAATAATCCAGTCTGGAGCAGACAATCCAGTGGTCAACAGCATGAGCATCAATCTACGCAATTGGGATACGATGACATGTGACAACCAAATCAACGAACCTCTTATGACAAGCATGGGTTGCTGAAGACCTGGATTTTCACAGGTCACAAACATGTTAAGACATACCTATGGAATCTTCCAAAGAAGAAGAATACTGTTGATTCATAGCTCTGATCTTGGTGAATGTTACTTCATTATGAGCTACCCGTGAAGGTCCGGGTTAGAATTGGTCTTCAGCAACCAATGCTTGTCGTAAGAGGCGACTAACGGGATCGGGTGGTCAGACTCAATGAACTTAATAACACATGTCATCGTATCCCAGTTGCGTAGATCGATGCTCATGCTGTTGATCACTGCATTGTCTGGTCCAGACTCGATAATATACAGACCGCCGCCATATAGCTGGAATATTGCAGAGTGCTGCGTAAATGTAAAACTTAACTCACTCACTCACTCACTCATTATGAGCTAGACAATGAAACAATTTTGTCCCTTTCTCTAATTGGTTTGCTCTTATCCTTTTCAGCTTCTGAATCCACGAGAATTGTTCTGTTACTCATAGCTGGACAGCGATGTCCTCATGCTACAACACGTTCCCAGTCATATTGTAGCAACAAGCAGATGAAGGGGTGGAAATATCCCATTGCCCGAGTCCAGTGTTTTTTTCTGTTGGGCAAGTAAATTTGTATATCACACTGTACTGGTGTCCAGTTGACTTTCCAATATTAATTATGTTGTTTATTTAAAAAATCAACAAGAAAACGGCCGGTATAGTGGAAAATTTATCAGGGCAAGTGAATTTACATGTGCCACTGCACCGGAGTACACTAGCAATTTTAAAGTTATTTCCACCCCTGATTTGAGTAGTGACGATACTGTGATATGGTGTTCATCAAATTTGATTGGACTATTGTTTGTGTCATGTCATTCACCTAGACAAAACAATTAATAATGGCATATGTGTCCAGGGTATTTGTCATGAAAGAATGGAGAATTCATACAGACATAATCAAGCATGGTTAATCCTTTGCCAGTGACATTTTGAATATTTATGGACAAGTAATCATTGAAGTGTATACATGTATACCTGATGGTCTATCTCATGGTCTACATACCTGGTGGTCAATCTCATGGTCTACATACCTGGTGGTCTATCTCATGGTCTACATACCTGGTGGTCTATCTCATGGTCTACATACCTGGTGGTCTATCTCATGGTCTACATACCTGGTGGTCAATCTCATGGTCTACATACCTGGTGGTCTATCTCATGGTCTACATACCTGGTGGTCTATCTCATGGTCTACATACCTGGTGGTCTATCTCATGGTCTACATACCTGGTGGTCTATCTCATGGTCTACATACCTGGTGGTCTATCTCATGGTCTACATACCTGGTGGTCTCTCATCTCATGGTCTATCATACCTACCTGGTGGTCTATCTCATGGTCTACATACCTGGTGGTCTATCTCATGGTCTACATACCTGGTGGTCTATCTCATGGTCTACATACCTGGTGGTCTATCTCATGGTCTACATACCTGGTGGTCTATCTCATGGTCTACATACCTGGTGGTCTATCTCATGGTCTACATACCTGGTGGTCTATCTCATGGTCTACATACCTGGTGGTCTATCTCATGGTCTACATACCTGGTGGTCTATCTCATGGTCTACATACCTGGTGGTCTATCTCATGGTCTACATACCTGGTGGTCTATCTCATGGTCTACATACCTGGTGGTCTATCTCATGGTCTACATACCTGGTGGTCAATCTCATGGTCTACATACCTGGTGGTCTATCTCATGGTCTACATACCTGGTGGTCTATCTCATGGTCTACATACCTGGTGGTCTATCTCATGGTCTACATACCTGGTGGTCTATCTCATGGTCTACATACCTGGTGGTCTATCTCATGGTCTACATACCTGGTGGTCTATCTCACATACCTGGTGGTCTATCTCATGGTCTACATACCTGGTGGTCTATCTCATGGTCTACATACCTGGTGGTCTATCTCATGGTCTACATACCTGGTGGTCTATCTCATGGTCTACATACCTGGTGGTCTATCTCATGGTCTACATACCTGGTGGTCTATCTCATGGTCTACATACCTGGTGGTCTATCTCATGGTCTACATACCTGGTGGTCTATCTCATGGTCTACATACCTGGTGGTCTATCTCATGGTCTACATACCTGGTGGTCTATCTCATGGTCTACATACCTGGTGGTCTATCTCATGGTCTACATACCTGGTGGTCTATCTCATGGTCTACATACCTGGTGGTCTATTTCATGGTCTACATACCTGGTGGTCTATCTCATGGTCTACATACCTGGTGGTCTATCTCATGGTCTACATACCTGGTGGTCTATCTCATGGTCTACATACCTGGTGGTCTATCTCATGGTCTACATACCTGGTGGTCTATCTCATGGTCTACATACCTGGTGGTCTATCTCATGGTCTACATACCTGGTGGTCTATCTCATGGTCTACATACCTGGTGGTCTATCTCATGGTCTACATACCTGGTGGTCTATCTCATGGTCTACATACCTGGTGGTCTATCTCATGGTCTACATACCTGGTGGTCTATCTCATGGTCTACATACCTGGTGGTCTATCTCATGGTCTACATACCTGGTGGTCTATCTCATGGTCTACATACCTGGTGATCTATCCCACGGTCTACATACCTGGTGGTCAATATTATGGTCTACATACCTGGTGGTCTATCCCACGGTCTACATACCTGGTGGTCTATCTCACTAGGTTTGGGTACAGCATTCCTGTCTCTGTCCAACTGTAGATGGACAAAGTCCACCCCTGCAGCCAGATCCTCTTGTGACAAGTCGGACACCCAAATACCCTTCATGTACAGCTGACCGTTATGGTGAGGGTCCAGCAGCAATGTTCCTGTCAAACAAAGACCTCACTAATGTGGACAACTGACAGTACTGATACAACGTAAATATCCACAGAACTGAAAGACTGGGCATAGTACCTCTCCCACTCTTTCTTAGTCTGTCAAATATATCCAAGAAAGCGCATGCAAGTCTAGAAAATGTGTCAAGTATAGATTTCCACAGCTTCTGAAAATGAAAGTCTCAGGGCTTCTTTTCATTTTATTTTACGGGTTTTTTTACAATGAACTTTTTTCTGTAATATACAGTGAAGCCTCGTTAATCCGGACGGTTGCGTTTCTCAGCAAATTCGTCCGGATTGCTAATAGTCCGGACTACTGAATCAAGACCCAAGTTGCTTCCCTTACTATTACAAAAACGACACGAATCTGGATAAAACAAATAAGCATTTAATGTAAAGCTTATTGAATTCATCACATCAATAATTTTACCGAGTGACATCCGCATGTTGATCCGACGTGTCTGATCACGTCCTTCCTTAACACAGGTGAGGTAATGGCTAACAAGCGATTGTAGTATGCCTTGAATGTCCGAATTATTCCTGCATCCATCGGTTGAATATGATACGCGGTATTTGGTCACATTTCGCAAAGTTAACGAAGCACACTTGTGACTTGCAGCGTTGTCGTAAAGCAAAAGTCCACGTGACCGCATCTGTCTGTCAAAGTACATTAACCAATCACAAAACAGCTCACTTGTCATCCACGCCTTTGTATTGTGGTGTCAATCAAAGTGTAAATGTACAGTATCTTCAGTCGGGAGCTTTTAATGTCTAATTAAAACAACAACCCAGTTGGCCAGTTAATTAAGTAAACATCGCCGGGAAGTGTTGTTACGGTTCGTGAACACGACTTACAGCGTCCGGACTGTGAAGCAATTTACTGTTTATTTTACTGATTGGTGACAGCTACTTGCCGTCCGGTTCTGGAAACCGAATTCCCGGATTATTGAGGCAAATTATATAGGCATAGATTGGTAACAAGCTGAAATCGTCCGGGAGACGAGACATCCGGATTATCGGAGTCCGACTAACGGGGCTTCACTGTCTGTAATATACGTTCATTTCAGAGACTAGTTGTTAGTCTAACACTTTCCCAACCCATCCCTGTCCCAACCCTTCCACACACCCAGCCCCTCTCCCAACCTTCCCCAAACCCTGCACCCCTCACATGTATCCTGTCAGCTGGCATTCAATATTATCCAGTTTAATATATCTCCATGCTATGATGACTTGCTACCTGTACTCATGATTCCTAATGTTTTGAAAATGCTTTTCAGGTAAAGCTACAGTACAGAGTGGGCTCTTGGTATTTCGGACATTAAATGGTAATCATAAATCCTATGATAATCGAGGAACATCAACTGATGCATCTTCTCAGGATTTAGCCACCTGTATCTGGTAAAAACATCTGCAGGAACTCCCATTCTGAAACATGCACAGAACAGGGGCTACTTTGTTGAAACCTCTTCATTTTCAAAGCAAATGCATGGACATTACTGCAACAGCAACAATAATGTCATAAAAATAATGTCACAAACATACATACCTAGTTCAGTTTTAACAAAGTCAGCAGGAGGTCTCAAAAACAGGAATCTTGGCAGCTGAAAGAGATTGGTATATGTCACCAGACCACCATGGTTCAAGCTCTTGGAAAGAAACACAAATGAACTAGGGCTGAAAAACTCATAACAAAATCGCACAAGACCTGAAACAGCATTGTTAAGATATGACAGTATTTATTCATCCAGGGTATGAAACTCCCAAAAAGATGTAAAACTTGCCAGCCCTGACTAAAACTTACCTGCCCACTATTAAATATCTTCACATACCAGTACATGTCTAAATTTTATCCCGACCGTCGGGCAGGTGAATTTGAGAATCTGGCTGTCCGTGTTGAAAATAACCCGTCCTGGGCTGTCGGGCAGGCAGGTGTTTCGAACGCTGATTCACCAAATGTTAACATTTGCTCAACCATTCACATGCCATACGTCCATTAACAGGTGAGGCAGCATTCATGCACTAAATGTTGCATATATTATACATAAATAAGTTACCACTACTTACAAACTTCTTCCAGTCTTGGTTTTCAACGCCGCTGATCTTTGTGCATGTATAAGACTTCTCACTCGGACCTTGTGCCATACCGCTGTTGGTAAACAATGACTAATTAACATGACTGAGGTCATAACACTTCAATTCTGGTTTCATTTCTGACATTGCATGATTCTATCTATCAGCAATCTTTGGTGTCAACTGCCAAAACAATTTTGGCAACACTGCAAAAATATTTTTTGGAAAATCTCTCCCAATTTTGTAAATAAGAACTGAATTGTTTAACGCCACATTTAGCTGTATTCCAGCTATAAATCTCTAAATAATTGAGTCTAGACCAGACAATCAGGTGATCAACAGCATGAGCATTGATCAGTTGTGATACAATGACATGTGTCAAAAACGTCAGTAAGACTGAACAATCTCAAAAGTCGCCTTTAGGACAAGCATGGGTTGCTGAAGACCATTTCTAACCTAACCCCAAACTAGTGGCAATCCCATGTTAATGCCAAAACCACAAAGTTAAACTTAAATCCCTGAGAACTGGTGATAAATAAGGATCATAATCCTGCCAAATCTAGGACTTCCAGAAAAGATCGCGTTCCTGGCTTAGCGATTTCTGCTTTGCACAGCAAGTCATGACCAACAGGAGAATAACGAACAGATGCAGATTATGACGTTTAACACTTGTGCAGGCCTGGACCTAGTCAAGTTTGTTTTAGTCTTGTTAGCATAGCTGACAAAAAACATTAACACTAAAATCGCCCGTACATATTTTCAAGTAACAATGTCATGATTCCAAATTTTGGGCAGATACATGTTAATATATTCAGATGTGAACTGAACAGAAAACAGACAAATGTGACTGTCAGTTTTGGGCATGAAGTGATAGTATGTTTATTTGAGTACCTTTTATCTTGATTGATGTTTTCAAGATCCTCAAGTCTTTCTGTGTACAAAAGACAACATGGTGTTAGAAATGGGAGTGAACATAATATATACTCCTGACAATACCTCGTATACTTCTAAGCATATGAAAGCAAGCTGTCTAAAGCATACAGGGTACAATGTGTGAAGTATATTTCTGGTGTCCCCCACTGTGATATTGCTGGAATATTGCTAAAAGCGGCGTAAAAATAAACTCACAACTAAAGCATACAGGAAATATCAGAAAAATTCACAACATAAAATACAAAAAATCCCAAGTTACACTATTATTGTTAAAACTATTGTCATGAACATGCAGGGGAGAACTTTATTTCACTGACAATGTGGTTAGTAAGCTGTAGTTCTTAGTTGTACAAGCGCTTGCTTGCCCACATGGGTTCGATTCCCCACATGGGTACAATGTGTGAAGCCCATTTCTGGTGTACCCTGCTGTGATATTGCTGAAATATTTCTAAAAGCAGCGTAAAATCATACTCACTCACTTACAATACATAAAGCATAAAATGAAAAGTTACAATACATATAAGAAAACATCCAGCCTGTTACAAAGTAACTTTTTTCAATTTGCCTCCCAAATGTGCTCAGTTTGAAATCCTGGACAAACAGCGGGGGTATAATCTTACATCACTGACACGAAATTGATGCATTTAAGTTCTCACCATAAGAAAACAAATTAATTCAAGACTTACCTGAAATAACCACTGACAACACTTTTTCACCAAATTCTTCATTATGCAACAGTTGGAACTCCCACACATCACTTCCCGTTTCCATAGTTACCAAATGACCTTGTCTTACCAGTGCCAAAGCGCCAATTTTCAGTCCTTCACCAAACTGGCCAATCACCTCTTTTGTATCAGCTTTTGCACTGTATCCTAGCAACAAGATCTTCTTCTGCAGTGCTGTACATTCATTAGTTAGCATTAGCCTATTGTCAAATATACTGTATATAAGATGTCCAAGAATTGTTTCTTTCTTGGTCACTGGGTTCTTGATTAATGCTTCATATTTCTGTTCAGAGACATTTTTCTTGCACCTGAATTCAACCATGACATTGGAATCTAAAGGTAGATCATCCAGCATGGCTGCCATGGAATGAAGGCCATCATGCCAATTTTGAATGAGTTCTCGTATTCCTTCCCACGTTCCCCAAGATCTGGCATATCGTGATGTCACAGTAAGGGGGATAACTCTCTGTGTAGTCATGATGATGACTCACACACCTGTAAAGAACTGAAAAACAAAAGAAAAAAAGGATCATGTAACAGAACAATACATCAGTTAGATACATATGTATTAAAATTGTTCTTCATAGAAAAAATAATAATTTCAATGTTGATTATATTATACTTGATAAACAAAATTGTATTTCTGTTCATTTCTTGATCACTTGTTTCCTAATTTGTTATCTAGGAAGTTGAATCATCTGAATAATAATTATAGTATTATGGATGACAAATCAAAAAGAATATTTCACAATTAGCCAGAACACATTCTACAGGTATGCTTAATATGGACTAGTAAAAGTGGGAGCGTGAAATTCAGAAGGGTATAGAGTCCTTTTTCCAATCTGAATATATACTGAACATCATTGAAAACGCACCAGTCTAAAATTGTCCATATTTTCATCAAGATGGATTTCAGCATGACAATGATCAATGAATATATAACTAACATGAAGTCGAAGGGCATGTCCAGTTGAAAAAATGCTTTAGAAACAAATTCCTGTCCACAGTATGACTCTTAATTCCAAAATGCATCAACATGCAGCCACGCCATGAAAAAAGCGCAAATTTCATTCTGAAATCATACTGACTGTGACATTAAAAGCAGGTGTATGAGAACCGATTCTCATTGCTTCACTAACGATTGTGAAACGAGGACAGAGATGCCGAGGTTAACACTTCACGAAAGAGAACGTGCACTAGGCATGATTCAGGTTGGCACTAGCAGCAGGGATATTGCTCGACAACTTGGACTTGGCCACTCCACCATCGTTAGGCTTCATACACGACATCAGTAGACAGGCAGCACCCATGACCTTCAATGACCTTGGCAACAACGTGTTACGACGCTCCATCAGGATCGCCATATTGACCTTGTCCATATCAGTCATACTCATTGAACACTGCCGACTGCCAAGACTGCTGCACTAGTTCAAGGTTAACGTGGGGGTCATCAGCGCTGACTCTATGCGACGCCGTCTACACTCTACAGGACTTCATGTTCGAGGTCCTTACGTTGGACCAATTCTGACTGACAGACACCGTAATGAACATATACAATGGGCTAGCAGTTATTTTCAGTAAAGGTTACAACAATGGTATGGTGTGGTAGTCACTGACGAGTCACATCTTCATCTACGTAATGCTGACGGCCAATTACGTGTTTGGCGTAGACGTGGTGAACGTTATGCTGATGAGTGTGTGGTTCAGACAGACCTTTGGGTGATGGGTTTTTCTTTGTCTGGGGTGGAATAAATAACAATCACAGGACTGCCTTCATGTCTGTCAAGGGAGAGTTAATGCCCTTTATAAACCGTGAGCAGATTCTTCAGAATCACATTGCGAAACCACCTGGGATCTGTCTTCAATCACCACCAAGATGTCCATACTTTTCAACAGGACAGGCCATTGCAACACACAACAAGACTTTCCATGCAGTATCTGGCCTTAACACAACCAGGTTATTCATTGGCCAGCACAGTCACCAGATGTATCACCCATGGAGCACTTGTGGGATCTAAATTGGTCAAAGTCTTCGTAAGCAACAACAGATGCTAAATTAAACCTGGGAACTTGAGTCTGCACTCCTGCTGAAGTGGAATGCCATCCTCAAGAACTCTATTTGGACGCTTATTGACTCAATGAGGAGACGTTGAACTGCATGTGTCAATGCAAATGGCGGTCACACACAATATTGACTTTTCCATTTGACTCCATGTATGTTTGATCCTTTCTGACTGTGGAACATTCAATGAATGAGCAGTCTTTTCTGTGTTGTTGTTTTTGTCAGTCGACCATCTGTTATTATCCACTCAAAACATATTAATTCCTTACACATGCTTTTAATAATCTGAACTTTTATAAGTGGTGCGTTTTCAATGATGTTCAGTATATTTTCAGTCAATTACATCAGGGTCTTCTGCATAACAAGAAAATGCCTTAAACACTAGACTACCCAACCATCCTTTGTTACTTGGGCTGCAACAAATCCACTAAGAGGTGAATATGACAAATGTCACGAATATTGGGTCATGAATACAGCAACAAGTTGATGTACTATTCATTAAATCATAAATGTAGTTAAACATTAACAAACAAATTCTTTGACATATTGTGACTATATTGACAGTGTTGATTTATCACAACAATGACCAGTGGCCATGTTACAGTCATATTGTATAGCTAAGAGAGTTGACCTTTATCCTGCCTGACCATATATATACTGAGGAAAGGAAATAAGAGATCATATGAAAGCACAAGTGTTCCTTTATTTTTTCCAGCTTTCTTAACAAGTTGTGCGATACAAAGCTTATGAGGAAACCTGGGGAAAAAATAAAGGAACACTTGTGCTTTCATGTGATCCCTATTTTTATTCCCTCAGTATATATTCTATTTTCATATCTTGCTTTGACAAGTTACAAGTTCTATTAAAAACACTTCTGTTAAAAAAAATAAAGAATATTCTATTCTAATACTCTTTATGGCCCTATATCTTACCAATGCCAAACATGCAACAAAACAGATGTTTGGGCTTTGAGTGAGTGAGTGAATTGGTGAGTGAGTTGGTTTTACGTCGCTTTTAGCAATATTTCAGGAATATCACGGCAGGACACCAGAAATGGAGCTTCACACATTGTACCCGTCCATGGGGATTCAACTAAGGTCTTAAGCGTGACAGCAAATGCTTTAAGCACTAGGCTAACCTACTGACCTTTTCGACTTTGAAAAAAACAATGACTATTAACTCAAAAGCTGTTAAATACCTTTTGCAAGTTTTGTTTAATCAAGAATGATTGAATGAATGATCAGTACTGGAACTATAACACTGGTGCCAATGTCAAAGGGAACTCCATTGTCACATTGTTTGGTCACAGGTTATTATAAGCAGGGCTCCAGATAATTTTTCAACATCAGGTGTATACTCCTTATTTTTGTATATGAATTACTGGAAAACCTATAAGAGTACATTTTGAGTACTGAATGGAATTTAATGCAGTATCAGTAATCTTGTGTTTCGTTTCATATATGCACCACAACATTGCTACTCTTAAGTGTAAATGGGGCAATAAACAATAAAAATAATACTTTTTCAGATAAATCACGCCTGTAAATGATTCTAAGACCCATGCATTCATTGCTGTAGAACATATCTGCTACGCTTTTAAATTATTTCCTACCATATCATGCATATTTTTCAGCATTACATACCAATACGGCCCTTATCTGGAGCCCTGTATAACGGATTATGCGTTCTGATGATATCAATAATAATGTGTATTTGACATTAGGTACCTACTGAAATGTGCCCCTGGTAACCCATAAATTCTCCATACTAACTGTCCTCTAAAGTTACTGGAAATTACCTGTAACGACAACCCACCCAACAGCATCTAAGTGTCCTTTCTGTATACACAATATTCCTCGAAAAAATTCATTCGGTACATATTTGACAGCCAAAGCCAACCATGACCTTTACCATCATCAATAGTATCATCAGCTCTCGATGCTTTCCCTGCTTCTCACCAAATGCAATGAACAACTGGTAAAACATGCTAACTTATAGATAGGCAACATTATTTTAAACACAAGACATCACCAGAGTATTCAATAATGTCTCTGTGACGCAGTTATCAAAGATTTAGAGAATAATCTGTCTAGGTATTTAGTGGATTACAGGAAATATGCTCGAAGTTGAATAATGTTCGTTCAGTGCCGAGCACCGAACATTAGGCACTTTAACGTGGGCATCATTATTTAACGTAGGGCATATTTCGTAATCACCAGACCTTGTTGGTTATTCCCATTTTATTACCCATAATGTAAATTCTAAAAGAAGAACCACTTTAAATAAAACCACCCGGAGACAGGACTTGTGACCTCAAACAATTGATTCTGCATGCATGCATTAAACCTAACTTCCAGCCAGGTAATACAACATAAATTACGCTTATGGAAATAGTACATCATAAAACTCCTTTAAAATACAACAAAATTATTATGCCTGGAATAATAAATTGAACATTTGTTAATATGATAAAAATGATCTTTTAAATATATCATTGAACTACATAAGAGCTAAACATTTATTCGGACCAAGTCAGTGCTACGGGAACATTGTTCATTCACGAACTGACATGTTTTCTAGTGACGGGTGACGGTGTAGTGTTTGAACACACTCTGGCAAAAACTGTCAATTTTTGGGAAAGCTCAACGGTTAAAAGTTGGGAAATCTAAAGAGAGAAATCCATCCTACTCCAGTATACATCTAGAAAAACTTTTCTGTCAAGAAACTCAAATAAAGTTTGAAGATTAAACAACATTTTGTTCCTGTGGAAGGCGCAGTTAGCACTTCTCGCCTTAGTAGAGTACAGCAGGTTCCAAGAAGGATAACTCTAGTCGGAATTGAAATCTCATAGAAATGTGTCAATCTCTGCATCGGATACTGGGACCAACTCTTCGATTGATTAGGAATGCATGGATATAAAAAGTCATCTTGAAGAAGAACATTTAGCACTGATTCCGGTAAAGAAACTAGCTGTTTTCTGGTTCGATGGCATGGACGCATTGTCCGACTTACTTGTCACACGCTTCAGATAACATCTTTAGTCGGTATCTTACTTGCTTCTATTTCCTAATTCAGTTTCAACAACAAAACAGGTTTTGGGAATTCAAGGGCTGTAAAATTCAGATCACTCTTCCATTTGATCACCGATAACTTTAACTAGGTAAGTGACCTTGATCGAGTTAGCCTGAACAGCGCCATGTTTTGTTTACAAACAATGCAAACGCATTGTTTGGTGAGGTTTTTAAAGATTATATAATTTAAAAAGACTACTATTTATAACGCAGTTTTATTCCAAAGTAATAACGTTTAATAAAAAGAATATTCATATTCTTTAACCTTAATGTTTTCTTTTTTAGATCTCGGAATGTGTGATTACATTACTTAATGTCAATTTATCAATGAATCGATGAAACTTTATGAATGAACGTAGTGTGTGAAAGTAGTTCCGGCATCCAATGAAAATGTACAAATATACGATCAACCAATCAACGTCGAGAATCACTAAATTGCACACTGTGCAAATATCAAAAAGATATTACACGGGATCTCCTCACCCGTATGGGTAATAACTTGTTATAGTAACATATAAACATTGCCATCCCAAAACGTATGAAGTCTGAAAACATATAATCAGACGATACATGAACTTCTATCCTCTTGCTATAGGTTTTCGGATGCTAAAGAACATCTGTTATCATCTTGATTATCACATGAACAATTGTAAAGCATGTCCTTGACTTCTTAAAGGCAATTTTATCGTAAACACAACCCATCATTCGAGTATTTTCAATGTCTGTGTGACGCTACCCATCACTTTGTATCCGAATAAGCACTGCCATCAGAAGACATGTAATCCGACAATATTTGTTTGAATATCTGGATGCTACGCACTATATAGATGAATATTCCTGAAACATTACATCAGTAGAGGAGCTACTCTCCCAAAGTCCTCCACAGTCTGGGAATACTTGAACAAATTCATTTCCAAACAGCTAGCTAGCTTACAATTTTCAGTGTTCATGATGGTACTCAACTTCAAGAATTTCAAGACTATATTTAGCATCCACCCATCCCGTGTTTCCGTTTATGACCTTTGCAGAAAGAAGTGAGCATACACTTCAGAATATCCGTAAAATGTGAAAGTTTACTATTTAGCAGCATCTGCTGTTTATTACAAATTTCATATTATGTATTTTCGGACATAAGAAACATTCCTTCCTTTATCTTTATCAATAATCACGTGAACAACTGCTAAACATGTCACTCACTTATAAAATCTGAAAGCAATCATCCGAGTATTTACAACATCTGTGTGATGCAACAGACCTCGTTATAACGCGAATAAACACCTCCCTCCGAAAACCTCACACCTCTTTCACCTTACCACAAAACGCCGCTGCTGTGTAAAACTTCACTGTCTGATCGATGTTACCGACTTTCATTGGTCTGATAACAGTAATGCGAGACTGTCAGCTCAAATTCCAATTGACACTTTCTCAAAATAGCACCACAATTATCTTACTCAGTGCTGATGGCTCTTGTCCTTGTTTACCTGTCTTGGATGAAAATAGTTTAGAGTTACCCGCCCTTGGTGTATATGGCGGGAAATTATGAACAGAAAAATGTCACAGAGTTTCGCTGTACAGAATCATTGTCAACCAATTCTGAATGATATAAAGATATTCACAAAATATAACTGAAGAGATCTACATTATATTAATCATTTGATCTTATACTGTATTGTACATTAGCTGACGGATGACTCATGATTAGCGAACATATTGCATACCATCGTATAGGTAAAATAACATGTATCTAGATAGACTAACAACTAGTCTCTGAAATGAACATATTTTCCAGAAAAAAAAAGTTCACGATAAAAAATATATCTAATGAAAAAGAACCCTGGGACTTTCTTCATTTTCAGAAACTCTGGAAATCTGGACTTGCCTCATATTCTAGACTTGCATGGGCTATATTGGATATGGTTGTTTCAGGCTCTGTATGACAGACTAGTATCAAGATTGACTCCCACCAGCATCGTCTTTATTGAAGACTAGGTGAATATCATCTAAAATTAGTTGATAGTTCTCCAACATAGGAGTCACCGCAGTCACATTCTATGTGGTAAACCACACCTGAGGGCCTTGCTTCTGGGACGACCTATGCCACAGGAAGACCTAGGTCGTCCCAGAAGCAAGACCCATCTGGTGTGGTTTACTCACAGAATGTGCCTGCGGTGATTCCTTTATGTTGGAGAAACATCGAACCACTCACCCTCAGGATCAAGGAACACCAGGCTTCAGGTAGGAAAAATGATTCTAAATCAGCCATTGCCGACCACATCAAAGCCCATCCTAACCACACTATCAAATGGGACAAGACCAAAACCATTGTAAAGAACCAGTCAGACTAGAAAATTCGTAAACGTTTGGAAGCAGTACACATCAAGAAGATAGGACCCGCCCCCAACAGAGATGAACGATACTACATTCCCAATGCCTACCATCACTTGATAAAGTAATCAATATATTTCTTGTGTACATTACCTGTTTCATTCCAGCTATGTACATCAACCCCATCCATTGTATAAACATCCACCTGGCTTCCTATCAGTTGTATAAGCTCTAATTCAGTCCTTGTATGTCACCCTACTGGCTTCCTATCAATTTACTCAATCTCTCATACAAACGTTGTACATCAACCTCACCTATTGCATAAACAACTCATTCCTATCTACTGTAACAACAACTGTATATATTCTCTCAATTTGTTACTCATGTATCACATGCTTAACAACGACATTAGAACCTATGTCGAAACGTCGCCTTCACAGAATAAAAGAAGTTGTATATCCATAATAATTGCCATTATTCTTAATCCCAAAGACTTAAAAATAAGAAAACTCCAAGAAGAAATCCACACCATTACACTCCAAACACCAATCAGCTGTGATCAAGGCTAGCTGTTATATTACCTCCGGCTTACCATCAACTGAAAGAAGATTCTCATCACTGAGTCGTAATCCTTTATATCATTGGAAGAACAAGTTAAGTCTATACCTCAGATCAACGGTGAATATATTGTGTGGTCAACAGCTTCTACACTCTATTGTAACCAGACCCCAATTCATTCAACAGTAAAAACACTGTCTCACGTTTGTATACAATGTACTTCTCGACCACACTCTCGATATAGCTTAACGTCGGAAAGCGTAAGTTAAATCTCCAAATCATCATCATCATCATCACTCTCGATATCACTTGCCAGATAACGATGAACGATGAAAAGACACGTACAATCCCTTTTACAGGAGAGTTCGGTTTTAAAAACGGGTCATAGTATAATGGAGATAAACCTAAAATATTTGAATAATTTAAATACAACAATTTTCACAAGACTGCAAAGCGGAATGCACGTGCAAGCTGTGACCATTTTGCCATTCGTTTGTAGACTTATTCGAAGTGGGAAAATGCAAAGATTGACAGGTACCTATTGCAACATCGCCATATGACGTCTGCAGTCTCATGTCATTTCAGCATACAGCAGAACACTGTATTTCTTTTGCGGGAACGGTACACCCGCCTCAGTTCAACCCAAGACCGCCCGAGAAGTGTAGACCATCACCATCCCTGCCCAAAAGCGCTAATCCGGGTCCTTCAACTACGTTGTCCACATTCTTCTGTCACCGATCCCTGTTTGAGGAGGGTATTGGACCAAACATGAAGGAAACGTCTGGTACAGACGGGATTTAGCCCCGGGAGACAGACAGATTATTTATTAGAGTCTCACCTCATTGACATAAAATAATACAGCATAATATACAAAAAAAATACATGAGCCGCTCCATTTGGAGTTATGAGAGACTATCTGTTAAAACAATGTACAATGATAAAATACACTATAATATGAGAAGCATAAATATGATTATAAGCATATACATACATACATACATACATACATACATACATACATACATACATACATACATACATACATACATACATACATACATACATACATACATACATACATACATACATACATACATACATACATACATACATACATACATACACAAGGTAGCAGATAAGGTGTCTATCGACGTGAAAATGAACGTTTTGCACCAAACGAAACGAGTTTGACAAATTTGGTAGCAACAGTGTGATGGTGTGGGGAGCCATATCCTACACACGGTGATCTAACTTGGTGATCAAGTTGTTCAACGTCCCCTTCTTCCGACAATAAACCGACAGAGTTGTTTCATCATGACAAAGCTACACCACACAGCTGACTGTGACCTGTGTCATACCTCACACATCAATGTCTTGACATGGCCTTCCAGATCTCCGTGTCTGAACCTTATAGATAATCTGTGTCACAGATTAGCGTCCACGTCAACATTCTCCGGGGGGCGGTGGGGTAGCCTAGTGGTTAAAGCGTCCTCTCGTCACGCTGAAGACCCGGGTTCGATTCCCCACATGGGTACAATGTGTGAAGCCCATTTCTGGTGTCCCCCGCCGTGATGTTGCTGGAATATTGCTAAAACTAAACTCACTCACACTCAACATTCGGCACCAGGTACTGATCGGAACTCCTCCCTAGTGGACGGGGATATCTAGTGACAGGACAATCAGTATTGCGATTACATGCTCAGAGCGTGTGGTTATCACCAAGTTCCATCCTTGTTTCAAACAAATTAAATGAAATATTAATATCAAATTACATACCGTAATTATTTTAGTTTGCCCGTGCGTCTCTTCGTTTGAAGAGTGGATTCCACGATCCCCTACATACACTCTCTCAAAAAAGAAACGCAACCCCTGTTTTTTTTGGTCATGTTTATATCAATTGTAACTGGTTATTACATTTGTATTTTTAAAGATAATGCCATGAAATTTGACATGGTGAACCTTAGGTCAGCACGGTATAAGGTAACAGTTAATGCAGGTCAGTATCGAACTCTCAATTTACGCTAGGGGGCGTTGTCTTCAGTATCTCGTTGTAGAGCCACGAGCTCTAATCACAGCAGTGCACCTCCTCGGAACAGAACGAATCAGACGGCGGATGTTTTCCTGGGGGATTGCTCTCCACTCTTCCTGGAGTGCTGCGGCCAGTTCAACCAACGTGTGCGGTTGTGGTGTACGTGCACGAACACGACGATCCAGCTGGTCCCACAGATATTCGATAGGATTGATGTCTGGCGATCTGGAGGGCCACGGCATCACGTTGACGTTTGAACTCTGTAGGAATGCCACTGTTGCACGAGCTGTATGAGGG